TCATAAAAGGAACTTGGTTTCCCTGGGTGATGTTCCCTTCTCAACATTTTTACATTTTCGTTACGTAAGTACAATTTGTATAAAATTGTATTTATGTTAAAAACATAACAGAAAAGAAAAGAACGAATACTAGGACACCCTATGTAGCCAAGTTATGGTATCTAGACGATCTAGTTTAAATCTATATAAAGTCGACCTAAATAATGATGTATGCATTCCTCGAATCGAGTCTTCCAGGAACATAAAAATTGATCTTCTCATGCAACTCGAGCTGTTTAAGACGACCATTGGTAGTTTTAAAAAGAAAAATCAATTCGTTGATGTCTCCACGAGTTCCAATAACGGGCACGTATCAAGACGAGTTATTATCGTAAACGTGGCAGATCATGTGAATCTGTAATCATTATTCGTGACATGTTCAACTATAATCATTATTTGTGACATGCACGTCTGCAATCATTACTTGTGACACGCACAACTGCAATCATTATTTACGACATGTACGATTGCAATTATTGTTTTGGAAATGCGATAAAACTGCAGAAAAGCAACGGTAGCTGTTTTAAAACTGAAAAGTTCTATCTTCGTACACCAGCAAGTAGATCCTCCACTGAGTCAATTGTTTTCGAAAAGAGAATTGTTTAATTCAGATAGCTATGATTTTCACGCGTCCAAGGTGGTTTCCGTCCTTGATTCCACTGATAGAATTCTATATTTCACGCATCGCGGTTTCGGAAGTAGATTGGAAGTCGTTCGGAGGCGAACGAAGTTAAATAACGCGAACGACGAGTTGCCAACGATAGCTCCGAAGTGTAAAAAGTTTCCAGGAGGGGCTGTTTTATCGAGCTCTTCTCCTTCACCGCTCTTCGCTTATTCCCGACGTCTCGTATAAACTTACGAACTCGAAGTGCCTGCGATAAATCGAGACGCCTCTCGATTCCCGCAGACAACGGGGGCGCGAATTTTTGCGTTCCCCGCACGATACCGCTCGACGCGTTTCCGGTTCCGCAAACGTTTCGCGATAAACGCGTTTTCCAGCGTTTCATATTTCGACGCTGGTAATATCCGGAGACAAGTTGATATTCTGGGACCACGTTACCGGTGGAATAACGAAAATAACGAGAAAAATAACTACAGGGTGCGAGAATATTTGCCTCCAATCTTTTTTGGTGATGACTTCTTCAGTCTTCAAAGACTTCTTTCTTAGTATAAAGGTTTTTCCGAAAGGAGCTTTAGAATTGTCACTATTAATTATAATCGTGTGTATTTTTATTTAAAATACAAAAATAGGATTGAATCTGTATAGACAGAAATTTTCTCAGCGATATTTAACGATGGACTTAATAATATCCCTCGCATCACATGCCACGGACTGAAGGATATTTTTATCTAGCGATAATTTCGATTTTAAGCAATTATTAATTAATGGGTAATGGAAGACAGTAAATGGGGCGTGTAATTAGTTAAACGTGATGTTCGAGGCGTATTTTAATTGGTTTCGATTTATACGACGATATTTCATGTTTGGTAATATTATATTCCTCGTAAAGCATTTTATGTGTCGAGGAACACTTCCGGCAGGTAATAATTTTAATCGAATCAACGGCTAACTCGGAGAAATTGGAAAAAACCACAGATGGCGCTGTATTAATCAGACACATCGTGTATAGTATCAGTTAATTGCCTGTAATTTTTATAGCGATATTTCACGATAGACATTATTAGGTATATTCCTCGCAAACCGTGTCAAAGAGCAATTTCTCGTAAATCATGTTAAGGAGCGATGAACCTTAATAATTCGTAGACTATGGAAGGAAGAAAAGGGAGCACTGTTGCGATGAATCACTCGAAATGTCTTTTTAATTAGCTACAATTTTAATAATATTGAACGATCGACAATACCGTATCGCTCATAAAGCGTATCGATCAGAGAAGAATGTTCCAGCCAACAATGAATTTGATTTAATCAATTAACGATTCGGTGATAATGAAGAACAACAAATGCATTATTAGTCAGATGGGAGCGCCTTTTTGTTAGCTTTAACTTTGATAACAATATTTAACGATCGATAGCAACAATCCCTTCATGTGATTTCATGAAGAAGATTTCGAACGAGCTACAAATTTAAATTTAATCGATTAATAATTCGTGGATCGTGCCAGAGGGCAAATGAAATTTATTAATAATTGGACGCGTCGATCGAGAGGTCCTTTGATTACTTTCAGTTTTTACGATGATATTTGTCCGATCAAAAATATTGTTTCCTGATCAAATATCCTTGATAAAATCTCTAGCGAGAGACGATTCCGAATTTAAACGATCATTAATTCATAGATCATAGTTGAGGGCAAATGGAGTAATTTAATTAATTTCAATTTTTACAATGATATTTGACGATCGATAATATTTACCCGCGATAACTGATTTCGTTGAATGAAGAAAATTTCTATCTAACGAGAATTTTGAATTTAATAATTCATAAATCATGACGGAGGACTGAAATGCATTAAACATTTATTAGACTTCAAATTCAATTTGGTATTTGACGATCAACTTATATTCCTCGCAGCGTTACCGTAAATCCAAGAGTATTTGTACCGTACAATGATATCAATCCCAATTGGTACATTCCTACAGTAAAAAAATACATCTTAAAAAATGTTGAAAGGATTTCGGGAGGTATTACTCCTGAAAAGCAATTCTCTCGAAATTGTCCTTGTTTACAATACTTTCCTAGCTCGTGGATCGAAACGTGAAAGGTGGAAAAGGGAAAAAGGAAATGGAAAAGGGGGGGAATGGAGAAAAGAAATACGGAAAAGGGAAATGAATTCGTACCGGGAAGCATATGATATCGATATCACGTATGAGGGATACGATGCGCGAACAAATACGTGCTTCCTTCATCGTTCGTACGGTAGACCGGATGTGGGCCCTCAAGGTCGTTGGAACGAAGCCCACGGTTGCTTTTCGGGCCGAATGCTGATCCGACTTCGGATCCCTCCGAATCGGGATCCCCGGGATTAGTATCCATTTCCCCGAGGCACGATGGCTTGGCAGAAGCTCTGATAGGATTTATTCGTGAAAGGCAAGGGGTGAAAGGCCGGATAGAGAGGGAGGCAGCGCGTATGGACCTCACGAATACGAAATACACTATATTCCGACGATCCTTTTATTATTCCATCATGGCAACGCTACCCAGGATCCGTACAATGTAAATTCCCGTCGGGGATAACAAGCTCGCGCGGTCCGGGAGAATCATGTTAATGTATTCTTCTAAGACGCAGCCGGCGTTCGGGTTAAGGGTTGAACTTTCGCGGCGATTCGCGGAGCCGCGGTAAACGCTACGTGCCGCACGAGAACGTCGCGAAGTTTTGTGTCGTAACCTTTCCGGGAATTTCGTGGTGCGACATTGTAGGGTCTCTGGTATATCGTGGAATAAGAACATTTCTACCTGGCTGTGGTTATGATTTCGATCGACGAATAATTTAACGATATTACAGGCACTGCGTAGCCTCCGGTGCTGGGGAGAATTATTCTTCGTGCAATCATTTCGAGTTTACTCGATTGTCTACTCGTTCGTCGTGAGAGATATTTTATTCGGGTATTTTTTAATTTGTTCCAGCTTTTAGAAAGAAAAGGATAATTCTGTTCAGTGATAATTTCAAATTCCATCGATTGATTATTTATACGTCAGGACAAATGTTTGTTTTCAGGTAGTTTTTAATTTGTTTCAATTTTGATAACCATGCATCCTGTATAATATAATACTGACCATGGATAATATAATAAAAAAATCAACTGAGACGCATCATTATAACCAATTCGTTGCTCGAGGTGTCTTTTATCTTCTTTCTATTTTTACTACGATATATGACTATCGATAGTATCATACACACCATGTCAGTGAGGAATATCTCTGCCAAGCAACAATTTTGAATGTAATCGAATAATAATTTGTAGGTCTCGGATAATGGGGGGCTAATGAGATGCGTTGTTAACCACACCCGACGTTCAAGGGGTTTTTTAATTGGTTGCAATTTACACAACGACATTCAACGTTGAATACTACTATGTCCACCGCATAGCGTGTCATAGAGCGATGAATGCTTCTATGCAGCAGCAATTTTAAATTTAATCGAATGTGTAATTTGTAGATAATGTTAGATAGCAAACAGAGTGCATTAGTAGTCAGGTATGTCGTTCCGAGGTGTTTTTCAAGCAGTTTCTAATTTTTCAACGAGATTCGACGATTAATAATTCATAAGGTGTGTCACAGAACGAAGAACGTTTCTAGTGGACGATAATTTGATGTTTTATCAATCCGAAATCAAAAAATAAGAAAAGAGAGCAAAAAGAGACTTTCATTAATTTCAATTCTCAGACGTGTTGGTTGAAACGTCGTTTATTTGATATTGATGCCTTGATATTTAATCGAAGAATCTTTAATCACAAAATTTTAATATTCATTTCTCTGATATTTAATAATTGACGATATTATGCTCCTCGTAAAGCATACCTTGGGACGGGGAATATTTCTCTACATCGATAATTTTGAATTTCATCAATTAATAATTCGGAGCTAATGAAGGGAAGCAAACGAGTCGTATTATTAGTCAGACATATTAATCGAGATGTCTCTTAGTTGATTTCAATTTTTACTGCAACATTTGACGATCGGCATTATGATATCTCTCGTAAGCTACAACATGAAACGAAGGGCATTTTCATCGAACGATAATTTTGAATTTAATCGAATAATAATGTGAAGACCGCGGCACAGAACAGATGAGGTCCATTGTTAACCAGTGCCTTCGTTCGAGATATCTTTTAATTGGTTACACTTTCTACATTATCTGACGATATACATTATCGTATATCTACATCATCTACATTATCGTAGAGATAAATAAAGTTTCGTTTTCATTTACATTTGAGAGAACCGTGGTTCTAGAAATTCAAATCAGTGCAAACCGTGTTGGCTAAAAATTGATCCAATCTTTCAGGGGTGAGCACAAGATCTCATTCGTTGGTGAAGAGGTTCGACGGGATTTACACAGGGCCGTACTTCGACGCAAGCAACCCCAAGAACATCACGGCCCAGTTGGGAAGGCATGCCTACTTGCCGTGCAAAGTGCGGCAGCTTGGTAATAAATCGGTAAGTCCACCAATTTTCCCTGAAGACGCTCTAACTTTAAGAGTAAGTGATACGCTTTCAAAGAAAATTTCGAAAGTTCTCGTAAATCTCTGTTATTTATAATTCTTTGGAAGTTCCTGACATACGTGGAAACTTGTACGGAGTGAAAAGCGTAGAAAAGAGTTCGCACAAACACGGATTCGAAAATGCTTCGATTATCCTATGCTAATTTATACTTGGGTGAAGAATCGATTGACTTGGCTGTGTATTTCTAGGTGCTTTATTTACGCGAAAGGGTTAATGTTTTAAAAGTGACTTTTAATATTGATAGACTTTGTTATCTTACACTTGTTAGTTTAATCATTTAAAATTGAACGCTTAAATTGAAACTAGCGCCGTATGTCGAAACGATGACGTACTGTAATGGGCGCAGGAGCTATTGAGCGTTTCCTCGAAGATAAAATTCAGGCAACCTTAAAATAAAAACCAGTTGGCGTAAACCAGAGGTCGGCAACCTTTCTTTGGACAGGAGCCAATGTCCATGTCAGTGAGTGTATGTCGCGCTACATTCGTCAATAGTTACTAAATCAATTCTTCTCAGAACTCTAACACACCAATGTTCTCAGTAGACGTTTTTTTGTTCGAAACGTGCGTTCTTGAATGAACTTTATGAAAAAAATTCAAAACAAAATATTTGATGCGTCTTCCATAACATTTTTTTAACTTTTCGGAAAAAACTTAAATTCGTCCAAATTCGGCACTTTTAATTGTTTTCTCTTTCTCCCCCCCCCCCCAAAAAAAAAAAATTTCTTTAATTGAAAATAATTTTTATTTTCATTTTTTCCCAATTCTGTGTGTATCACATTTCGAAAGTCGACAGCAAACAAAATCGTAACCTCGAAACTGATTAAAGAGAAAAGAGTATCCCCTTAAATTCTGAATTGTGATTGAAAATTCAGTAAACAGGGAACTCTTGGAGTCCCCTTAACATTAAAGCTTTATTAGTTTCGTAGCAGATCCGTCCCCTGCAAGGGCACATCTCGGCCGAAACTCTCCGCGCGACGGAACAGATGAAGATACCACACGGCCCCGTGGAAGCACGTGCCCCCGCGGACAAATTACGGATTCCTTAATTTCCTGATCGATTATGAAACATTCGCGAACTTCGAGCGTCCGTTATCTCGTCCCCGTTCCTTGCAAAAAGCACGCTCGGATACCGCCGTCGCCCGCGTCCAGATAAAGCAGATTTATTTGCACGCGAATACCCAGTTTTCTGTTGACCCGACGTCGATTACTATCGCGGCCGCCCGTCGACTCGTCGAGTTTCCATGAACTCGCTGATCCGCCATCGAAAAGTTCCGCTATAACCGCGCCTCCGTGTCCCGTCGATATTTCGCGCCCGTGGAAACCTCCGATTCGCGCTATTACAATAATCGAAATAGCTGATAGACGATAACCCGGTACACGGGCAAACGGTATCTCTCAGTCGGAAAATTTACGCCAACTATAAAAGTCTAATCTGTTCGGATTCGCGGCCGTTAGAACGGGATTATACGAGCACCGCGAATTTTACGATCACCGAGAAATAGATGGATAGATAGATAAGTAATTTATTGCAGACTACAGGACAATGTCCCCTGGGAACATTAACGCTGTGTGGGGGCGTATTAACGTTGATTATTGTGTGTTATTAGTGTTCTAAGAAATAGATTTTTATATTTGGAATGAACTGTGGTAGAGAATCTATAAAAGACTAATCTGTTCGAGTTAAATAGATGGATAAATAATTTATTGCGAGCCCTAGGACAATGTCAACCGAAGCGTCAACCATTTTTTAATAATATATTACTAATAACACACAGTTATTAGTGTTCTAAGAAATAGATTTTTATATTTGGAATGAACTGTGGTAGAGAATCTATAAAAGACTAATCTGTTCGAGTTAAATAGATGGATAAATAATTTATTGCGAGCCCTAGGACAATGTCAACCGAAACGTCAACCATTTTTTAATAATATATTAAATAATCTACGTGCTATTGAGCCATATTTCTGAAAACATAATTTTACGCAAAATGGTAGCGATACAAATTCACATTCTTCTTCTTCTTCTTCTTCTTATCGTTATCGTCATAAAAACCGTAGAGCATCATTTTGTCGAGCCTCGATCGATCCACGAATTCGAACAGTGCTCGAGTTCCACGGGTGCAGCAACCGCACACTTAGTTGTTTCGTCTCTGGGTCGTAATGGTGGATTCAGGTCTCATCAGCGGTCACAGCGCGCCAAGAAGTACCATCCAAGTCGGTCTTACACAAATCGAGAAACTTCTCCTCCCCGGCGGCTATTCGTTCCAAAGTTTGTTTTCTCGCGTAAGCATTTTTGGAACCCATCGAGAACTAACCTTGTTCGTGGTTAATCTTTCGTGTAGTATTGTGAGAACACTTGCCGCTAAGACGCTAAGAATGTCAGCCAATTGTTTCTTCGAGATTTTCCTCAATGAGATCCTCAACTTTCTTTACCCATTTCTTGGTCGGCGGCTTCGTTTGGTCTGCCGCTGCGGGGATCATCTTCTAACGACTCTTCGCCTTGTTTGAAAAGTTTCGCCCATTCAGAAACCGTGGAATATGACGGAGCTGCATCTCGAGATACTGAGCTAAGCGCTCGGTGAATCTCGGTCGCTTTAATTCCTTCCTCTGACAGGAATTTTATTCGAGCGGAACACTCAATGTTATTCGTTCGTGTAGCAACGCGAAATTGATTCGAAGATTAATGAGTGACTTGTTGCAAAAACAATCCTTTGTTTGATTGATGAGAACTTATATTTGTGTCAATAAAAGCTCTATTCATCGTGGCCCGACTCTTGGCTTTGAGCCAATTTTAAACACTAAAAATATTTCCCTCAAAAAATCATGATACGATCAATTTTCATAAGAACTGAGAATTTCAATCAATATAATTGCAACAATTTGGCGTATATAAAACTTCAACATCACGAAAATTCTTAATTTAAACCTAGTCGAATTCATCAATTATTTCATCCATAAAGTCACATCAACGAAACAAGAATTCAAATTCAAATAAATGTATGTCTTCTTTAAAACATGTTTGTTTAGGTGCGAGTAAGAATTTAGTTAAAAGTAAGCATTTCTTTGGTTTGTGTATCCATTTCTTATCTTTGATATTGTAATTATAATTTTCAATCTAACGAGACTGAAGGGAATTTGACGGAATTCCACTTTTCTTTAGTTTTCCATTTAATTAGAATTTTTGCCTCGCTACGGATAAGAAGCATTTCTAGACAAGCTTCCTCAGAGGCGGTGACTTTTTCGCTGCTTCATCTGCTCTGTCATTGCCAACGACTCCCGGGTGGGGTGGGATTCAGACAAAGTCGGATTGGGCGTTTCTTTTTGCTCGTAGTATTGTTAGTTTGGATTGAATGTCTTGGACCGTTTTTGTCCATGCTTGAAAAATCTTTCATGGAAAACAGAACTAATTTTCACTAGTTGTTAAGAAAACGAATCTTTCGATGTTTTCTTTTGCAATTTTCTTAAAGTCTAGCAATCTTTCTATTGTTAAATAAATGACTAGCAATTCTATCTTAATAATAAGTAGTTAATTAACACGGGATGTTTTTAGTGCCTCCTCAATTCATCCTTCATTTATTCTGCAGAATAGTATCAGTGGGACCAGAAAGTAATGTCGTTGATTACTATTTATCACCTCATCGTGTACCAATTGATTTTTATCGATCGGGGACGGTTACATAATTGCTTAAAACTAAACCATATTGTAAGCTTATGTGTTTGAATTTAATGTAAAAGAAACGACATTACTTTCTGGTCCCCTTGATAATTAATATTTTCTTCTGCAGTTTATCTGAAATCTATCAGCTTTTCCATTACTTAATGACTCGCATTAGCGATAACTACTCTTGATAACAGGACTAAAATACCAATTGTAGGTCATCTAATACCGCGTAGGCTTCATATGTAAATATTGATGATCCCTTGGGAAGTTTGCAGATCAATTCTAGATTGTTTGCCATGACCGTACATCGACCTTGCTCATTGTTTATAGAGCCACTGTGAAATTGTGCTTATGCCCTCTTTGTTTGTGGACAATTTCCTCGAATCTGAAATGGTTGAATTGTTCCTTCTTGGTTTATGTACGTTTGCTAATTCGAAGTTGATTATTGGCTTTTCGAGTTGCCATGGGGGTATTGGTAAAGGTAGTCGTTATGTTATCTGAAGCATTTCTGGTTTCCGGTCTTCTGCAGATAGTGTTGGTCGAAATGAAAATGTTCAGGTAATGTAGCTTTAGGTAGATATGGCCGTTGATTGCCGCGAGTCATTACTGCATTAGTGTTGATTATCGCGAGTCGTTGGCGTTTCGTGAGATAGAATAAGTCTAATTGGAGTTGGCTGGTTTTACGAAGCCTGCTAGAAATAGTCTGAGTGATAAGCTTAAGTTTTGTAATCAATTTATATCGTTGCAACGAGTAGTCGTTTAATTATGCCCGTCACATTTTTGTTGGACGGACTGTCTAAGGCCCAACGAGCGAAATAAATTAATTTATATTTAACATCAACGTTTCGACCCTATTATTCGTTTCCTATTTGGTTCGTCGATCCCATAATCATAATTACAATAAAATATAACATGAAACGTAGGAAGTGTAGTAAAATTTAATTTCGAGTGAGAGAATAATAATATAGAATGAATTCTGAAAAGTAATATAAAAATTACCATGTATAACGAAATTCTTGACTTAATTATTCAATCTTTCTTACGAAACCGCATAAATTGTGGATTATAACGAAGCGTAAACATAGAAGGCTTAACTTATATTGGATTAGTTGTCTTGCTTAAAGGCTAACGTAAAGACCCCATCTCTCAAGTTAGGTGATAGGTCTCCTTACCCTACTTTCGTGCAACGTAAAAACCCTATCTTTTACGTTGGATGACAGTTCTTCCTGCTCTAATTTCGCAGAAGTAAAATAAGAACAGTCACCTCGCCTAC